GTGGTCATATGACTGGATGGATGTGGCTTGGTGGCCATATGACTGGGTGGGTGTGGCTTGGTGGTCATATGACTGGATGGATGTGGCTTGGTGGCCATATGACTGGGTGGGTGTGGCTTGGTGGTCATATGACTGGGCGGGAAGGTGTGGCCAAGTCGATGTCACAATGTAAAAACAGCTGGACTTCACACAAAATGGTCCCTGCAACAAGAGAGCTCAAAAACCAACTATCACTTGAACCTGTCTATATATCAATCGCTTTCGCGCCTAAATAATCAGTCTTCGCTGCGCTATGCCTTTAATCATTTATAATTAGTAAAAGTACACTTGATTTCTACCCACGGAGTCTCGTGGTCTTCTTTCCTAATTATCTAATGGAGAGGTTCTGACACCTGCTTTATAATGATCTAGAATTCTATGTTTCTTGGTAACAATGAAAAGATACACTGCGCCCAACAGTATAAACCTATAAGATTTTTTTTTTTAGTTCTGATTGGATGATAAGTGGCAGTAGATATTCTCTAGCAGCAAAGCCCGCCGTGAATAACTTTGGTGATTGCTTGACTTGCTCTTCTCCCATCAGAGATGCTTTAACAGAGCAGAGGCCGATAAAGGCAGCAATTCAATCAGTTCCTCCTATAAAGTGGAGGAGAGTTCTAATAGTTGTTGTTTTTCAATTTCTGTTTCCAAATCCCAGTTCGGTTAGATAAGATGGGAGTTCTGTGAAAAGCCGTTGGGTCAACAGTTTTAAGCATTGAACAGCTGTAAGGTTTACATGCTTTTTTCAAAGGGACGAAGAATTGCACGAATGGAAAATGGGACTTTCACCAGCCAGACGGAAATTAGGGTTCCCTCCAATCTCACCGTCGTGCTGCATGAGAGATGCGGTTCTTTCCTTTGTGTTTGATGATGTGTGGAGCGAAGTCTTGGGCTACATGGAGCAGTTGATCTGCAGACATTGGGAAGGTTCATCCTCAGGTTTGTTTTTAGGCTGCAACTCTGTCTGTATAATGCAGGTGAACAAGCTTGGCAACTTGAAGACTTGTGGACTTCAAGTCCCAGAATTCCTAAACCAGCATAGCTGACTGGGGAATTCCGGGAGTTGAAGTCCACAAATCTTCAAGTTGCCAAACTTGGACACCACCGGTAAAATGGATGTCTCTTCTAAAAACTCTTTACCCAAAAAACAATTTTAATATAGCATTAGTAATTATGTGCTTTTGTAATGTGACATGGACCTGATAGTTTGAGTAAATCACGTCTTTTGATAGTGTTCACACAGGTATTAAAATAGTATTGGGCTTTTTGATGCTATATTTGGAGCTTTCTCTCCTACTAATGCTTAGTAATACTGTAAGGTTTTAGGCTATGCTTGACAAATTAATTGTATTTATATTCTGTTCTTCTAAATTTTTATTATTGGACTAGAACTGTCTGCATGTTTTCCCTTGAAGATGTTTCTGCAGGGTAGAATTTGTTAGGGAGTTGAAAGGAAACACAGATTTCATTTAGTGCACACCCCTAGCTCCTTCGGCAAACGACAGGATTAGATGCTTAAATATGAGAAACAACTTTTCAGATCTTGTTATTTCGTTTCACAAGCAGCTCTCTGCATGCAGCTTCTCATAATAGTGATAATAATAATAATAATAATAATAATAATAATAATAATAATAATAATAATGCCAAATCCAGCGAAACAACTGGCCGCTGTGATACAATTGTATAATAATAATAATGCCAAATCCAGCGAAACAACTGGC